CTAATAAATAATATTATAGATAAACCAAAAACTTTTCTTTCTTTTTTCAACCACACATTTTAAAAAAAGCATAATCCCAAAAATTATAACATCAAATTATGGGGGCCAAACGGGAGAAATATATGTTTGATGTCTTTATATCAATAATGTTATTTTGATATTTTTTTAACGACCGAATGGATTATACTTTTACATCGACAATTATTTTGGGTATAAAACCAAACCCTACTTTTATAACCACAATCGGTATCCACACTCTAATTGAGCACCCAAAGGTGAATAATCGTTTAGACTCCAAATTCTTTCTTCATAATCTGTGTAAAATTTACCATCTTCGCCAATGCAATAGATGTAATCATTTTGAAAATCGTATTCAAATTGTCTACCTCCGAATCTTGATGGAACCTAGCTCGCCAACAAATCCGTCTCCATTCCCCTCCTTGTGTAAGTTATCTATGCATTTGAAACGCACACGTTAAAGATACAAGATTGAAACCTCTCCAATTAAAGGCGGGGAGACCGCATTTCACCCATTTTGTCGCTTAAGTTAAATGAAACAAATGATAAATATTTTTGGACAATGCTTGGTGTACATAGTTTTTTGTACATAGATGTGTCATTTCCCTCACATGGGACATCCTTGTGTACACATTTTTATGTACACCAAGAATAATTCAATATTATTTGCACGGGAGTGACATGATCAGAGAAGAAAAGTGGAAGTCAAAATTCATTTATAAGAGTAAGAATACAATTTTTCTTCAAATGTCACCAAGTGTGAGTATTTATAAGCCAAATAAATAATTTGATTTTGTTCGGAGGTTTGACATACAGTCTCATTGCAACGACTTACTAGTCAAACTCTATCTGTCACCATGTTGCATCCTAGATATCGTAGTCTAGTCCCTCAAGAATTGAAAGAATTCCAATTCTCAAACTTTGAATTCAAGTCATGTAGAAGAATTTAGGGTCTTACAGTTTATCGTTGTAAAAAAATTGAAAATTAAACTAAAAATTAAGTATTATTTCGTAATAGGAACTGAAGCCACTAAACACCGTCCCAATGTTAATGAATGATTAATGGCGACGGAGTCTTTTCAGAGTGTAAGATAACTCGATAAGGTTTCGAATTCCTTGCTTTGTTCCCAAGATTTCATGATAGAAAAATCTGCTCTCATTTGATAACATTCCTCCATTTGCCTTGGTTTTCTGGCAAAATCAACTTTTTCTTTAAGCCTTATTCTTGTGGTTTCCACATGGGGTCACACCCCCTCCTTTTTCTTAGCCTAGAGTGAAACGCACACCAAGTAGTGATAATAATAAATTGTAATTGCTTTAATAACACCAAACTCTTACTTTCGAAAAAATAACATCGCTCTCAAAGTGAACTGTACACTAATGGATAGTGCTAAGATTTCAAATCTGGAAACTCGCCAATTCAATTGCATTGTCGTGTAATCAATGTTTAGTAGACTAATACCGTGTAATAAATATATTATATTCAAATAATATACTAAATTTATCCCTATTTCCATTTTCATTGCTATAATCCTATCTCCCACGTGGATTAATCAACACTCGTTAAGCTCCCGTTTCGCCTAATTATCCCAATTTTTTTCCTTACTTTTTTTCAACCACACAATTTTTCATAAAATAATATTACATATAAATTTAAAAAAAAAATCATTCTTTTTCAACTATATATTCTCCATACAATTTTCAAAATATTATTTCCACAAAATTTATTCTATATAATTATTTATGCCCCTTGTTGGAGTCCAACCTCCCACTTTATTAATTAAACAGTCCAGACCATTATCTTCTTACTGACTTCGAGATCACACATTTGAATGATGAGATCGGATTGAACACGAGCCATCATAATTCACAGAGACATCATGATGTATGTTTGATGCCACACTCCTATACCTTGCCACAAACCACTACCAGCACGGGACGTGGCACTGTGACGTTAACGCCTATGGTTCAACCAATCACAAGCAAGTAATGATTATCCAATTGTAAACCATCATTACCTGATGCCATAATTGTAATGTAGGCCTCATGATGACCTACATGACTGACCTCAAAAGACGAATTAGGGAATCGGAGCCGGACGATGGCACACACTTTTAGGTCAAAATGTAGTTGAAATGACTTTGGACGACCAAGTGATGTGGTCTTCCCACCAATAAATAGTGTCATCCTGATGCGGAGCTTAGGAGCACTTGACAATAAGCACTTTTCCCAACAATTTTCCTTTAATGCAATAACTTTGTACTTTTCATCTAATTCCAACAATCACTCTGGCACTCTGCTACATTTCTATTAAATTGGTCTAAATTTACCATGTCATTTTTTTAATCATCAACAACCCTATTTTATAAGGATTTAATTCTAGATTTTAATTGAGGTCAAAGTCGATAATAAATTTTAACCACATATTTTATGAAACCTACAACTTTTCAACTACACATTTTATCGATTTTTATTAAAATTTAATCATATTTGAATCTCCACCAAACAGGGGCTATGTCTCATTATAAATGAATTTTTTGTGATTTCTAATTTGTTTTATAAGAAAGTAAATATAATTGCTTAACAAAACATCAACACATTTGGAGTTAAATGTTTCAATAATCACTCAACTTATACCATGGACACGTTTTGCTCACTAAACTTCAAAATATTTCATAGTTATAACTGAACTTCTCCGTTTGCACTCCATCAATCACCCTAAAAAGTTTGTTACCTAATTCTCTAATGTGGCTAATGAAAATCCCATGTGGTAAGTTATGGCCATTTAAAAAATTACAACTTAGCCAATCCAATATGTTATTACTCATTCAACTTATACTTGATCATAATTTACTCATCAAACTTCAAAATGCTTCCTAGTAGTCATTCATCTTTGAGACATTACACTCCATCTATCATTCGTCGGATTTCGTTTCCTTCGTTGTTAATATATCGCATGAAAATCTCACGTGGCAAGTACGATCATTAAAAAATTGCAACTCAGTCAAACCATTAACTCATCGAAATTACCATATATGAAATGCGACTTTCATGGCCCTATAAATTTCTTTAAGCCTCAATAATGAATCCCCAATATCAGCCCTAAAAAACCTACATCACCTATGTACAACTAAATTGTTACTGAGATAGAGTCGACTATTGAGAAGGAGGCAAGAAGTTACTACTTATAAATTCCTATTGCTCAATTGTATCATCCGATTGATGTCTTTGTTTTTCCAATAGTTCCTTAAATAGTTGGACATGCACCAAAAAAATAAAAAATAAATAGAAGACTGGTGTCCTTCTCAACAATCGACTCTGTTTCAATACACAATTTAGCTACACGTGGGTAAAATTAGTGAATTGGGAGTTACGATTTTTTAGGGCAAAAATTGGGAGCGCTTTATGGGGGCTTAAAGAAGTTTATGGGGTTGCGGAAATCACATTTCAAGTATGGTGATTTTGGTGACTTGATGGTACGATTGAGTTGGATTTTTTTAACGATCATAAATTGTCATATGAGATTTTTGTACGACACATTAGTAATGAAGATGAAGAAATCTGACGGATGGTAGATGAAGTGCAACGTCTTAAAAATGAGGAACCTTGAGAAGCATTTTTAAATTTGTTGAGTAAATCGAGATCAAGTATAAGTTGGATGAGTAATGAAACATTAGTTTGGCTAAGCTATAATTTTTTTAACACTCATAACTTGCAATGTGGGATTTTCGTTAGCTACATTAACGAATAAGGTAATAATTCTTTTAGGGTGATAGATGGAGTGCAAATAGAAAAAATCCAGTGAACATTGTAAAACACTTTAAATTTAGTGAGTAAATTGTGATCATGGTATAAATTGACTGATTATTGAAACATTTAACTCACGTTTGTCTGAAGAATTTCATAAAGGGTGGTTATCGTGCCACAACAATTTTTTTTTGATACACCACATTTTAATTGTAGTTAACATCCTCAATATTTTCTCATGTATCAATTATTTTCTTAACTTTTTTCTGTTGCATTTTTGTCTTTAACCTTCTATTAATTAGTACGTCTTGTCATTGATGATGATTTGTATCAAAATATGTTGTTTTCATACTTTAAAATGAAGGAAAAATATTTTTTCACACTTTTTATTTATTTATTTTTTAAAAGTATGATTAAAAAAATAAGTTATTTTATATCATTTTAATTAGGGATGACAACGGGACATGTATGAGATGAGTTGACCATTCCATCGTGTTGGGTATTTGTTTTATCTTGTCTCGTCCGCATACCTGTTTAAAGCAGGAAAGGTCATGATGGATTGGATTGGGTCAGGTTAGGTCGAGTCGGGTCAGGTTCCCTGTCCAATTTATTGTCCAGTTTATTTTTTATATATTTAGTCAGTGAATATTATTTTTTAAAAAATTAAATATTATTTAAAAAAAATTTAAGAACAACTCATGTTTCTTTAAAAATGATAAATATTTTCTTTTTTGTTTGATAAAAATTTGAAATTTGAAATTAATTTGAAATGAGGTGGGTAAATGGATGGAGACCATGTTTTCTGTACCCATCTCGTACCCACTTCGGACCAATGTTTTCCATCCCGTCCTATTTACCATATTAGGGGGACAATTCGTGCCTCATTCGAGATGGGTCCAACGAGTATTATGTTGAACAAATTATTTAGTCATACCTAATTTTGATAGACTTTTGGACATAAAATTGATATCAAATATAAAATTTGTTAATTAATGAAAAGGTCGAGAATAATAATTATATGAAAAATAGTTAGGAATATAAGTGTTATGATGAACAAAGATCAAGAACTTTAAATATAATTAAAATGTGGTGTAAAAAATAAGGGGTGTGGTGCAAAAATATTTACTTTTTAAAAATTTCAAAATTCGAAAATTCCCACTTCAACCCCCACCTGTTTAAATCCCCCACTGACTCTGCATTTTCGAACTTACGAAACCCTAACTTACAACTCCAAAATGCGTGAAATCCTGCACATTCAGGGAGGCCAATGCGGCAACCAGATCGGGGCTAAGTTCTGGGAGGTGGTTTGTGCAGAGCACGGCATCGACTCCACCGGAAGGTACAACGGTGACAATCATCAGCAATTGGAGAGGGTTAATGTCTACTACAATGAGGCTAGCTGTGGGCGGTTTGTCCCACGCGCCGTTCTCATGGACCTTGAACCCGGCACCATGGACAGCGTCAGATCTGGGCCGTACGGACAGATTTTCCGCCCTGATAATTTCGTATTCGGGCAGTCCGGCGCTGGGAACAACTGGGCCAAGGGTCATTACACCGAGGGAGCTGAGCTTATTGATTCTGTTCTCGATGTAGTGAGAAAAGAGGCTGAGAACTGTGACTGTCTACAAGGTATTTATTATTTAGTTTGATTTTTCTTTTCAGAATATATATATTCCCAATTCTTTAATATCATCGTCTTTTTTTCTCATTTTCTGATATTTTATGATTTTTTTTTGAAAGCTAATTTTGTCCTGCAGTAACATAAATCTACTGTAGTTTATGCATAATTTGCACTAATTGGTGCGTTTTAAGTACATATCGACTGGTTTTGAGTGTTATTTTAGTAGATCTAGCGATTTCTGTTTTGGATTCCCCTTTTTTTAAATCTTTTTTCATTTTTTTTTTGTTACCTTGAAGATCTTGTTTTTCTAATCACCGCTTGGGATATTTTTAAGGTATATACGTTCCATATGTACTGACATGCATTTACAGATGTATAAATGCAATTTCAAACATAAGTTTAGTGCAGACAGAAACACATACATCTAGTATGTTACATTTAAGTGTATGTCTGTGTGAAGTATTTATCAGGTGGAGTTGTTGGGGATGATAGAGCTTGACTTTATTTGGTTCAGAAAACAAAAATCTTGAACTGAAAAGCCAAATACCAAATTGAATTAAACGAAATAGAGCAAAATAAACACTTATCCAAGCACAGTTCTTGTGGGATTATTGCCGTCAAATTAGTAAATCTTGAGTTTAGTGTTTGTTGACTTACTCAACTTATTAATTATTTTGGTGTCTAGTGGAATAAACTGCTTTACAATATGTGTTTATTTCTCTTTGACTCAACTCTTGTTTCATGTTTGTTTTGAACATTCAGGTTTTCAGGTCTGCCACTCATTGGGAGGTGGAACAGGATCTGGAATGGGAACTCTTCTGATATCTAAGATCAGGGAAGAGTATCCAGACCGTATGATGCTTACTTTCTCCGTCTTCCCATCACCTAAGGTATCAGACACTGTTGTTGAGCCCTACAATGCTACTCTATCAGTCCACCAGCTTGTTGAGAATGCCGATGAGTGTATGGTGTTGGATAACGAGGCTCTCTATGACATTTGCTTCAGAACCCTGAAACTCACAACTCCAAGCTGTAGGTTACTCTTCTCCTTCCTTTTTGTACTCTTTAAAAATTCAGTCATTTACTGTTTTGTATGATAACTGTAGAATTACATGCACAAGTCCATGTTATTCATGAGCCTTGTATGCCACATCTATTGTCCCTGAATCCAATTGAAAGCAACATCAATTTTGTTGTGGGACTTGATTGCACACATCCTTATGATGCATGCCTTATTGTGTGGTGCAATAATTAGTTAGAGGAGCTTGTTCTCCTAGAATTAAATTATGGTTAATGTATAGTTGAACTGTAATCCAGTTCATTTTAAACCCCAAAGCTTGTGTGTTTTGCCTTGCAATTTGTTAATTTTAATTTGGGCAGAATTGAATTTTTGGGAGTTCTACTATCAATTTTATGTTAGCAATGTCATAACTCTGTTTCAATTTTAGGATCTTCTCTTGGTGATAAAAATCTAGTTTTCTTGTTGCCTGGAAGGTCATTTTTCTTAGAGTTTGTTTGGTAGAGATTAAAATTGAAAATCTAGCCGTTATTATTGACTTTTATTAGACGAGTAAGACCCAATAACGGCTATATTTTCAATTTTAATTGGATTAAAATCCTTCCCAAACAAGCTCTTAATATTTTGAATTATATAATATGTTGTGCTTGTTTTACACTGTTACTTTGTTCTCAGATTCCTGGCTGCATGGGGTCGTGAGCCCCATGGATTTGCTAGCCTATCATGGTTCATGATTTTAACAAAAGTGTTCAGGTCTAAATTTATTTGTGGATTTTTCTTGAGCAGTTGGTGACCTGAACCATCTCATCTCTGCTACAATGAGTGGCGTGACTTGTTGTCTTCGATTCCCTGGTCAATTGAACTCAGATCTCCGCAAGCTTGCTGTTAACCTCATTCCATTCCCTCGTCTTCACTTTTTCATGGTTGGGTTCGCTCCACTCACATCTCGTGGGTCACAGCAATATCGATCCCTCACTGTTCCTGAACTCACCCAGCAAATGTGGGATGCAAAAAACATGATGTGTGCTGCTGATCCTCGCCATGGACGTTATTTGACTGCCTCTGCAATGTTTCGCGGCAAGGTGAGCACAAAGGAAGTTGACGAGCAGATGATTAATGTACAAAACAAGAACTCATCCTACTTTGTTGAATGGATTCCCAACAATATGAAGTCTACCGTCTGTGATATTCCTCCGACCGGCCTCAAGATGGCTTCGACGTTCATTGGCAACTCGACTTCAATCCAGGAAATGTTCCGAAGGGTGAGCGAGCAGTTCACAGCTATGTTCCGCAGGAAAGCTTTCTTGCATTGGTACACCGGTGAAGGTATGGATGAGATGGAGTTCACCGAGGCAGAAAGCAACATGAACGATCTCGTTGCTGAGTACCAACAATATCAAGATGCAACAGCTGACGAGGAAGGCTATGATTATGACGATGAAGAGGATTTACAGGAGGAGGTTTAAGTTCATGCTATGTGCTCTGGGATATTAGATGATGTTAAATGTTTCAGGATTTTCTTTACCGTTGAATGGCTTCTCTTTTGTTTACTTTGTTTCACTTTGTGTGCAATGTCGAACGTTTAAGTTGCTTTGAATGTCGAAATCGATTGTGCTTACACTCTTGGAGTTAATTTTGAATGTAATGCATTCTTAGGTTTCATATTTCTGTTTAAAGTGGTGAGATTTCTATAAGGTTTTGTTTGATGACAATGAATTCTATGGAAAATATTATATTCGAGGAAAACGAATTTTACTTTTGCCATTTTATTGCAATGTGAAAATGGAAATGAAATTTTAAGGTACAATCACTTTAAATTACATTTTCTTTATTTTCATGAAAAACGAATTTCTTTGAGTTTGGTAAATTTTTATTTTTCAATTAAAATGAAATTTGAATTTCTTTCCACCTTTGTCTATTAAACGAAGTGTAAGAGTTGTTAATCATTTAAATTTTAATAATAGTCGATTTATGAGATAGTACATTATTATCTTTTTTTTTTTTAAATGTTGAAGAATGCGATATTGACCCGAATCAAATTAGGATAAGTGGATAACGTGGGATATGACATGACATTTTGCACTGAGGAAATAGCCGAGTACGGCACAAAATTAGTAAAATAGATTAAGATTTTTAATTATCATTAATCTTCAATTAACTGTAAATTATACGTGAAATTTCATTGTAAATTGTTTGCAATTTTTTGTAGATGTTTGGTACCTTTTGTTTTAAAAGTGATAAATTTTGAGTAAGATAAGTATGGTCTAATAGTACATTTGGAAATGATATACAATATAAAAGAACTCGGCTAGGGGGTTATAAATGTCATTTTAACTTGTCGAACTTTTATTTCATTTCGATATAAGTGACATGATGTCACTTTCTGTTTCAAAAGTGATATATTGTTATTATTTTTATTTCAAATGTAAAACGACGTAAATAAGTCTCTACTATACATTTCATTCTATAGTAAAAGACAATTCAAAATAAAAAGTTCAAACACTCGAGTTTCATAAATCTTTTAAATTTCTTTTCTTTTATGGCTATTGTTCATAGTAACAACTGAAATGATTTCAATTCCGGATTTTTTAAACTCACAATATGATTTTATAAACATCAACAACATATTCTTCGATAATTGGTAGTTTTTGAATTGATGTTGTCATCGAATTATGAGTTTCGCAATGTAACTGCATCATTTCATTTTTTTTCAGAAGTAGCGACCTATAAAAGTTGTTCGTCTTCAAAGTATTCAGTTCTATGATGTTTTGATAACATCGTGACGTCTATGTATCATGAAACAACTATATTAGATTGAGTGACCTTTTCCTTGAAAAATGACACAACTTGTAACTTTTGAATTGACAACTTTAATTCATGTTACTAAAAAGAAAAAGTAGAGAGCAAGATTTGAAATCAAACGGTGTGCAGTTTCCATATTTCATCAACAAAATCTCTCAAGTAAGACATGTAGTGAAGTTGAAATAAGCCTAATATGATGTTTTGTCAATCATATATGGAACTATAACACTAAGAAATACCCCTAAAGGATTCATAAAAATCATCTTTTACCAATTGAGGCATTGGATAGATACAGCTGAAAAGCGCATAGGCAGCCCTCTACAATCTATCCCATTGAATTCCATTGTCTCGTATTATACTGTATAGTATCTGTCCAAATAGATACATTGAGCGCGAGAAGGGATAAAACTTTAATATTTTTTTTCTTTTTATCCGCATTCATTCGTAGATTCTCGGATTGCTTTACGTGTATCAAAAGGTGATTCAATGTACGTATTTGTAGATAGTATTTAATAAAGATAATTTAAACTATTTCTTGATTACATTCGTGTCATAATTGATGTAACATGATAAAATCTTCTTTCCAGATCAATGGATCTATAATTATTAGATTTTGTATAATCTCTACATCTTTTAACAAAAATTGTTGCCTCGAACATGTTTCAATCACTGCATTTCTCAAACTTCTGTTCCTAGTAAGTTATACAGTTATCTTCATGGCATGTCTCAAAATCTCTTTCAACCATATATAAAAGAAAATATGCATCTATTATTAATAAACTTTTATAAACGGAACACTTGAAAAATAATTACAATTTACCAAGCGTTTTAATAATGTCGTGCTCGTTTTGTAGTGTTTATAAGTTGTCGATCTTATAAAATATGTAACAATAAGCGAATTATAAATTGTCGGAATTAATTTATACTTTTCCAAATGACTAAGAAGATGCATGTACAATGTGTGGGTGGTATCCATTAGTAATGTGTTTTAGGTTGCGCCACACAACGCAATACCCATTCATTCTCAATTGCTTTGGAAATTGTGAATGCAGATTCATACTTACATGGCTATGGCTTGCTAAGCTTTAGGTCTTCATACACCGTGAGTCTTGGATTAATTCTGTTGATATGTGACCAAATCTCGAGTTTTTGACCTGCGACCAATGCACTTTGACATGTGCCCTGTTATATGTGACTGTAACCCGATCTAATGGCAGTTGACCAAATGTCTAGATATGTGATCTGATCCAATAGCCCGTAACCAAATCTCTTACATGTCACTTATTCAAGAGATTTAGTGACAGAAACACAATCAACTGGGAATGCAAAAAACCCCATATCCACAACTCCATCTACAACTGAAACTCAAACGGTTGGCCAGACACCTCTATTACCCCCATACAAATAACTTTCCCTATTATTGAAACTTAAACGACTGAGAAGGCAACCAACCTTACCACCAACACAATCTCCACAACTCTCCCTATTGCTGAAACTCAAGCGGATGGGCAGGCAACCAAACCTACCACCAATACCATTCCCATAACTCCAACCAGTACTGAAACTCAAACAATTGGGCAAGCTGCTGCCCCCTCCTCCTCCACTACTAACACTCTCACCATTCCACTTATAGATAAAATCCAAACTCAAACGCACAGCCAGCCAAACACAAACCTAGCCGCCACAATTTTACTTTCAAGTGAAGCCCATATGGCTAACTAGCCTAGTGCTACCTCAATTGGCCTTGAGAGCACGAGTGCCACCTGTAGTGGCTCTGCAGTGGCGAACAACTCATCGGAGCTTAGATTGCCACGCGCAACGTTGATTTTTTTACCGCTGCAGAATGCCTCACAATAGCGGCACTTGGTTGACATCCTCAACGTGCTGTCGACGACACCTTTAATGGATGGGAAGAAATGATTTGGGATTGAAATTGAAATTATAGGATGCACTAGGGGTGAGGGTTGGAGTATTATTATTTAATATTAAAAAATTGATTCATCACCTTATTTGTGAATAATTAAACATCATTCCTATTTTTGCACAATTATCTTTAAAATCGAGCTGTTGTGTAATTTCCACATTTGCTTAATTATTCTTAGGCCCATATTATATATGATATTTTTTAAAGGAAAAAATACATAATTATCAACATTCAAATATATACTTTCAAATTTGACAAACTTGTAGAATTCTTTCAAAAATCAAGTGGTATTAATTAAATAGATTTTATTAATCGAATAAATAATTAAATAGGTTAATGTTATAATAACATACAATTTATAGTCATAGTTACGTGCTAATCATATTTATAGAACATAACATCACTAATCACTAATTGAATAAATCATAACTTATATATTGGTCACAAATTATCAAGTTAATTAATCGCAGCTTATTTCTCGATCACAAATAACAAATTTTATATTTCACATCTATTTATCGATAACAATTTATCAAATTAATTGATCCCTATTTATTTATCAATTACAAATTATCAAATTAATTGGTCACAAATTATCAAATTAATTGGTCACAAATTATCCTTCATCTTCCTTACCACATCCTGACAACTACCACCGTCGTCGCCACCCGTAATATCGGTGGTGCCTCATATCCACAACCCTCCACCACCACTTTCATCTAACCCCACAACCACATGCACTAACAACCGCCACCTCCACTTGCGACTCCAACCAACCACACTTGAACCACCACTGCACAAACTAGAGAGCAGCGTCGCCACCACCATCATACCGTCGCCACCACCTGTACCAACAGATTAACATCAATTGTAAATTGTAGACTAGATCGCACACACATACACATAATTCGTTGCCCCTACCTCAAATCAACAAACCACAAACATCTCCTACCCACCATTTCTATGTATACAACGCCACTGCATTCTAAAATCTCGATGGCGATACGACGACGCTAAAATCAACCACCTCTTTCGATGTTCACCCCCATAAACTTGATTGATACCATCAGATTCGACCCCCACCCCACCAATTGAGTTTGAACCCGCTTCAACACCTTCTAGAACGATTTGCTTTGAAAGTAGCAAACACCATATTGGTGGCTCCACCGCCATCAAGATTCGCCGTTGCCAAAATTGGAAATGTTTATGAATTTGAGGATGAGCAACGACGGTGAAGTGGGAATTGTGATTTGGGAAAAAGGTTAAATTCGTCAATGGTCATCCAACTTTATACTTAGTGTCACCATAGCTACCTAATTTTATTTTTTTCACCATGGCCACCCAACTTTATATTTAGTGTCACCATAGTCCTCCAATTTGATTTTATTTCACCATAACTACACAATTTCATAAAACATTTCACCATGACCACCTAATTCATATAACATTTCACCATATCCACCCAAATTTTTTCACTCTTTACACTAATTTTAAAAATGGTAAAACTGTAACTTTGCATTATATATATAAAATAATTTGTTAAAAATAAAAATATATTTTTTTGAAATTTTAAAAACGTTTATTTTAAAACAAGTTTTTATTTTATTTTAATTTTTTAAATAAGTTTTTTTTAATTTTATTTTTTAAAGAATGTCTTTTTTAAAATAAATTTTTATTTTATTTTTCTAAATAACTTTTTTAATAAGTTTTTATTTCATTTTTTAAGTAGCGTTTTTTAAA